GGACGGCAAAGGATGAGATGGCTAGATAGCATCACCAAAGCAATGAACATGAAATTGAGCAAACTCTGGGAGGCAGTGAAGGACAGGAAGGCCTGGCGCAATATGGTTCATGGGGTCACGAAGAGTCGGACACGACTTAACGACTAAACAACAACAATTAGGCAAAATTTCACAGTATTTTATTATTAAGGAGGTAATAATAAATATATTCTAACTATTGTGGTATAGAATTAAAATGTACTTAGGACAGTATACTGCAAAGTATGATAATGGATTTAAATAATAGGAAGGCTGATTTTGATTGATGTTAAAATAAGCCTATGGTAAGAGCAGTTAGACAATGGAACCGATTACCCAGATTGGCAATGGGCTCACGGGATATGTTTGGGCATAGCTTGGAGGGCCATCTGTCAATGATGCTTTAATTTGGATTGTTGCACTGTGCAGGAGTGGGTTGGACTTGATGGCTTAAATGGCCCTTTCCAACTTCATGATTTTATGTTAGCTATCTCAAAATAAAGCACTGATATAGTACTGAGGGAATAGTATGGTTGCATTACAGAAACAGGTATAATGGAACAGATAAGTAAGTTTGGAGTTTTGGATTGCAGTCCAGATGTATTTTAGATGCCGACCATTTTGAAACTAAGACCTAATGTACCATTTGTGGACAACTTGCTTCAAGCAGCACTCCGCCATAACAACTCCAGGCACCTGCCAAAATCAACCCAATAATGAGCAGAGTTTACACAGGAAGGTCTCTGTCAGTGGTTCTCAACCAGTATTGAATATTGAGCAAAAGTCTGAGTGACTCACACTGATGCTTACCTTTTGCCAGACCTTGCAGAAGTCAAAGTGGACCATATTTATGTCACATTTTATTCATGGTAGCTGGCCCACTCTAATATTTGCAATATATGCTATGGGCTTAGCAAGCAATAAGCAACTCTTGCTTCTTGACTGAACAGAATTTTGTGGCAAACAAATTGCTGAGCCATGCAAAATAATGGTAAAAAGATAATTTAGAAAGAAAGAATTCTTAGTCAATATCTTTGTCACCTGACATGTTAAATGGAAGCTGTTGTTTACCACCACAGAAGAATTAATCCTAGCACTGAGAGAAAGAGTGGAATATAAGAAAGAGTCCATGGGAAGAAGCTCTTTGCAAACTTGATTGTAGGATTTTAGCTTTATCAGCCTTTTAGTTAAGCCTCCCAGCTGTATCTACAAAACAAAAATTCTCAGGTTCTTTGCCTGCCTTCATGACTTCATGCCACTTGTAAATATGACAGATGAGACACAGGCTGTTCTTGTGACTTAAGGAATATGCACTTCTTTAGGGTCCTGCAAATATATATAAAGAGGCAACAGTAATGTTGCTCTTTCTATCTTTTCTCTTGCGTTCCTCTGAGCCCAAACAGGTACACTTCTGAAGGCAAGGAACAGTGTCAAATAATGAGCCGTTCCAACAGATCACTAGAATAGTAGATTAATACCACTACACAGAGTGCATTTAACCTTTCTCTAGGTGCCTGCCATTTGTTACCAATGAATTTTTTGCTTTTTCATAATTTCCAGATTTTTGTGTGAATGCTTATATTTTTATTAATTTTATTATGCTAAACTAAGTAACAAAATAAAAGTATAAATACATCCAACTATTAATAACATAAAATAACTTGAAAATCAATAATCATAATAATTAAAAAGAGAGAAGAAAGGGTCTGGAAATTATCTGAAAAACTCCAAAATCTTTTACTGTCTTCCTTATCCCTTTGCTAAAAAAAAAAAAATCTAATCCAAATTCTGATAAACAACACATATCAACAACGATACCTACAATGTTTCAGCATCTTACTTTGATTAACACAAATTCCCATTGAAAAAACACTATCTCATTATTCCTTTACATTAAAAATAACAATGGAGTTGAATTTTCAAAGTTTAAGGTAAGTTTAAACTTGTTCAGTTTTGCATTAGGCTGCAATTTTTTGTTAGTTCTTGACAAAGGTCACTGTACAGTGGTGATAACTCATCGTTCAGTGGTAAATTTTGGAAATTTGGATGAACAGGGCCAGTCACCTGAATAAAAATGCAAAGAAAGATAACGGTGCCAGAGAACTGGAGTGTAACTGACTTTGTGAAATCAAGAACTCTAAAATAAATATTTTATTAATATAAATTATGATTATATTTCATTAATATACTTAGAACTGAAACTCTCTCTCTTACTTAAATCCCAAGTGCATGCCATAATTAATATTATCACAGGATTTTATTTATGTATTTGTTTGTTCAATTTATATAGGCGCCCATCTCACGTATGTGACTCTGGGAGGCTTGCAAAGTTAAAAACACAAAAGAGAATACAAAAAATAACCAAAAAAACCCGTAACAACAAAAAAAAAATTGAAAACATTAAAATAATAAAAACTATTAGAACCACTGTTTTCCATTCAGAGTAATAAGTATGTTTTCTCTTTCAGCTAATTCTTGCTACTTGGGAAGGAAGTTATAACTTACAATGTCAGAACTTGACCAGCGCAGGAGAAGCTGACATGAGGGTAAAGGCAACTTAGAAAACATGGAACGATCATGTGCTCATACATGCTTTAATGCATCTGACCCCAACCTGGCAATCTGCGTAGGTGTGGGACCTCAGTCCCTAGTATTTCCCACCAGAAGCCATAATGCATCTGGAGAGTGTTAAGTTGGAAGTGACTGCCATATTACCTTATAATGTTTCGTACTGACTGAGGCACATTTAGCAGGGATACTGGCCCGTAGAACATCCTGGAGCTTATTTTGGAGTAGACATGTATGTGATTGCATTGTCTGTCTGTCTGTCTGTCTTTTTGTTTTATATGGTTGCCCATCTTACAACAGTGATTCTGGGTGACATACAGGGATTAAAACAGCAATCACTACATATAACCTTTGGTGCCCAAGATTCAAACAATGACCCCAATCGCAAAAACTCACAACCATGGCAGCAGAACTCACCTAATCTCTTGGTCCAAAAGCCTGGGGAAACCCTGTTTTGTGTATGTAAGATACTGTGACTGAAATTTTTATTTGCCATACTTTTGATTATCATTTACTTGGAAATGGTGTCCTAGATTCATTTTCCTTATTTAAAATTCTTGTATGTGTGTTTGCTTTTTATTAGCAAAGTCTTTGCCAAAATTATTTTCCTAAAAATAGTCTTTTAGAAAAGGGTTTATCATGTTCCATTGTGACATATATGTTTTATAGCACAATGTCCTCCTTTGCCTGGGTGAAAAAGCATCATACACAGGTTGAGAATGAGTGATGATGTCTTTGATGTCACAGTCAGTATTGCCCAGCATCTTCCTTCTCCTACATCCATTTAGGTGTCTGCCAAGGAAGTCAACGTAGAGGCTTTCTACACGTGCTGGAAGCCCTGAATAGTTGCATAATTCCCATGCACGTGTGAGGGGTGCTTTTATTATTTCAAACCTGGCAAAATGCAAATCATACAAATTGCCTGGGAAAAAATGGCATCTCTGTCAATTCCTTAGCATTCAGTTTCAGTTCCAGTCCTGATTCTGAGGATGCAGTACTTTTATTTTTCTGTTTTGTTCGTCGGTTAACCCTGTTGGTCCTGCTAAGTGGAACAGCTGCTATACTTCCCAGTGCCATCAGGGTTTCTCGTGTTGGTTCTTTTCCTCTGTCCATATATTCTAGATTTTACACTGCCAAATTATAGGCTTATCTAGACTGGAATAAGCACCATGTTGATTGATTCTGAAGTCAAAATTCTGAAGCTGCACCTTTTCTTAAAAGAAAGTTTTTGATTCTGATGCCAGTTCAAACACCAGTAACTGGTATTTAGAGGTAGACTGCTTCTTATTTGGTGTAAATAGAAGATTAGTAAAGGTACTTTCTTCCATGGAGCTTAATTTAATTGTGCAGTTCAAGAATAACTAGAGTCTTTGTGAGGAAATATATAGAAAAGCTTGGGGGGAAAAAAGCTTGGAAAAGCTGCATGGCATTCTAAGTGGGGTAATTTCTAAGGCAGGAATTCTAATTACATCTGGGCAGAATTAATTCCCAACTAAATCAACTGAGCTTAATTCTGAGGACATATGATTAGTGTCAGGATGTACAACTCTTTCTAGGAACTGAGGCTGAAAACTGTTGTGCACCTATTTGGAAGTAAGGGGACATACTTATAAATAAAAAATACGGATATGATCCCAGCAACATTCAACTTTATTTTTAGCTATCATACAGAATCTTCAAGAAGAGTTAGTATTTTTGTCTGACTAAAGGTTTCTTTAAATTAGCTGAATATGTTGCTTTAAGATGAGATTATTAATTTTGCAGACTCTTTCTTGCAGGTGGCCCGGGTGTTGTGGTGGTATTACTTTTCCAAAGTCGTTGAATTTGCTGACACTGTTTTCTTTGTTTTGCGAAAGAAAAACAGTCAAATTACTTTCCTTCATGTTTATCATCATGCCACTATGTTTAACATCTGGTGGTGTGTCATGAACTGGATACCTTGTGGACAAAGTGAGTATTTAGAGATGTGAATTAAGATATTGCAGAACAACATACTTGGAAGACTTTCATGTAGAATGTGTCTGATTGCCAGTCTGAATCATTTTAAAAAACAAGGGGTGGATGTAATAATACCTTTAGTAAACATGGGCAAAAGATGGCTCTGAATCTGAATAAACTTTCAGCAATAGCTAGCAGTTGCCATTTTACTTTGTGGTGGCACATTTCATGGGCTACGTAATCAACCTTATTCCCTTATTTAACTAAAGTTGCAGTAGGTAAATACATATAAGCTGGGTTTTGCTAGGTAAAATGTGGTTCGTCTCTGGCCCAGTAAATTGTGCAAACCCAGCCAATGTGGTTATGTGATTCATGATATTGTGCAAATTCAGACACTTGTGCTCAATAAGCCATGATTTGCTTGATCACAAGCGTGCTGTGTCAAAACATAGTTTAGTTTTCACTTCTAGCTGAACCATCGTATCTATCTCCTGCCTTTATTGTTTTTTATAAATAACTCAAGACGGCAAACATACCTAATACTCCTTCCTCTTTTCCCCATAACCACCACCCTGTGAGGTAAGTTGGGCTGAGAGAGAGTGGCTGGCCCAAAGTCACCCAGCCCGCTTTCGTGCCTAAGGTAGGACTAGAACTCAGTCTCCTGGTTTCTAGCTGGTGCCTTAACCACTAGATCAAGCTGTCTCTTTGCCAGTTAGCACTGACAAACTGTGTCCATTAGACTGCAGGTAATCCCTGACTGGCCTCTTTTCAAGGTTTTCGTTTCTTGTGTGAAGTATTTCCAGATGGAGAGTTCCAAATCTGAGCAGTTCCCACCTTTCCTCTTCAGGAAATTCTCTAGGGAAAGTGGGAGTTAAAACAGGCTTCAGGATGTTTCCAGTGTAGAAAATGCTTTCACTGTGGGTCCAGATCAGCATTTCTCAAGCTTTCTGCAGTTATGGTTCATTAAATAAATGTTCAGAAAAAGCGTGGATCATCCAATTTAACAAACACCCCCCTTCCTATTTTGTCGTCTTTCAGAGCATGGAAGCTCGTTTTTTGGGCAATAAAACCATTATTAAAATTTCATGGGTGTATACCTTCCCATCTCTTCCATTTTAAGAGGCTTTTTAAAACTAAGTTTACTTCCAAAAATGCAATGCAAAATATATTAATTGACCACTTTAGGCAGGGACTGAAGTGGCAGTTGGCTCTAGCTGGTGAACAGGCTGCTGCGGATCACGCTGTGAGAATCGTTGCTGTAGATAGAAGGAAATGTCTGTAGCTCACAATACGGTTACCATACCTGGGCTGCAAAAATCCAGATGACCACTAGATGGCAGAAAATACAGAAAATGAACTCTCTGCCTCCAGCTGCTGGTCCTCCAGATTTTGCAGCCAAATATAACAAGGACAGAAACAAATTACACAACCATCTTCAGATAATAGTTTATGCCACAGGAATAAAGTTGGATTCCTCAATACTAAGAAAACTGTGCAGTATGCTAAAGTGCCATAAATTGTCACTTCACTATAACGTTGCTTCATAAAAATAAATCCTTTGTAGTAAATATATGACAATATATTTAATTCTGTTATCACAGGTTTCTTTGGACCCACTTTGAATAGTTTTATCCATATCCTCATGTACTCCTACTATGGATTGTCTGTCATTCCATCCATGCGTAAATACCTTTGGTGGAAGAAATACCTCACTCAAGCACAACTGGTACAATTATATTCTTATTTATACTTAGTAATCACAGTTTAAGGAGTAAAAATCCTAAGTGTTGAAGCAAGCTGGAATTATGGGTACAAACCACTTGGAAATGAAGATAGGACTGAGGCAGTTTGGGTGGCAGATTATTCAGCTTTATGAAACATCCATGTTTTTTAAACATGGAAGTTAGTATTACACACATTCGGATCCAACTGCTTCTGTAATGCAGCGATGGGCAAAGTGGGACCTTTAAAATGTTGAATCTGAAAGACCACACAATCCTCTGAAGCTTGAAGTCAGAAAATATAGTCATCTATTCTAAGAATTATGTTACACAGAACATAATTCTATTCTAAGAATTCTATTCTAATTCTATTCTAAGAATTATGTTACACAGAAAGTGAGACAAGGAAAGGAAATAGAGATTGGATGAGAAGCAGAGCACTTGTAAATCAAGAAACATCAAGCCTGCTTGATATTTGAGCAACTGCTCAATTATCAATTCTCTGTTACAAGATAAATGTGCATTGCAGCACTGGTTGGTGAAGGTAGATCTAATTCCAGTTCTCCCTTACTCTATTCTACGTGCCCCCCCCCATTGCCAGAGCCTTCAACACAGAGTCCCCTCCCCTGCAACTATGTTATGGCTACATGGCACTGCCTTGGCAGAACAGATGGCGCATGATGATCATATATGGGAGGATGGATTTTAATCTCAGACAAACTTAATTCTGCAACTGGTGCAATGCTTCTTTCTTCCACAGATTCAGTTTTTGCTCACCATCGCACATACACTCAGCGCAGTTGTCAAACCGTGTGGTTTTCCCTTTGGGTGCCTCATCTTCCAGTCCTCCTACATGGCCACATTGGTGGTTCTGTTTGTTAACTTTTATGTCAAGGTAAGCTGAGCAAGAGGAGTGGAGAAGTGCCTGCACATTTATGTTTTTGAGAAATGAAGGTCCTAGTTTGAAACACAAGAATCCCTGCTTTTTTGGACTGAGTAATAAGACGTTTCCAATTGACTGTCCAACCTGGATTGGTGAGAGACTGCTTTCTCTTGCCAAGCCTTTTCCCCCCCATGAAATATGAAGGCAAATTAACATCCAGATCAGATTTCTATAGCCACTGTAACACAGGAAGAAAATTACAAATTTAAAAACCTACAAATGTATTTATGGCAGAGTTTTGCAGCATCTCAGATCTGAAGACCAAAAAGTGTTTCACATATTCAATAAAGTAGCCATGTTTTTCCAGGATCATGCAACTAACCCTTTGCAGCAGCAGCAGTAGAGCCATAGCACGTTTGCTTAAGCAGTTGCTACATGCATATCCCTGCAATCTCTGACGTGCCTTTTTGCCCTTGACTCCAAAGCACTGCACAGCCTTAATTGCTAAGCGCTGATAGATAGCTGGGTGATATATAGCCCAATGATGAATAGAACTAGTCAGTCCAGCTCTAACTGCAAATCAACAGTAACCCCGTTTGGGACTGGCACCTCATTGCCCAAACAAAAGAAAAGCATTCATAAAATTGAAAAAGCCCATTTAGGCTATTGAGTGCAACCTCCTGCTCACTGTGTGAATCCAAATTAAAGTATACCTACTAGATAGAGGTTATATAGCCTCTGCCTAAAGGTCCTTAAATTGGGGCACGTTATTCCACTTGTGAACTGTATCCAGCTTCTACTCCTCATATGCTGTGATAGCCTAACTTAAATCTTCCCACAGAATCCCTTGTGGAAATTTGAAAGTGTTTCTTTTTCTGCACAAGTATGCTTTGTTACTAGCTGTTTCACATGCCCTACTAATCTTTTCTTCAAGGCTGTGCTTCTTCTGTTATGGTTATATTGCATTCTCTTGGTACCCAAAGCTATGCTGTTTTGTTATGTGAGAAAAGGTTGTCCTTCACAAAAGTGGTACACCCAGTACTGTTATAAGAGCTATGCTATTCACATCTCAGCTTTGCAAATCTAGTGCTGGAATGCCTTTTTTTTTTTTTAAGGGAAAGAACAGTAGGACAAAACCTTCTCGCCCATCTTTCATTCATTTCATTATATTGTCTTATAACAAGAAATAATGGAATGATCAGTACACATGTGTTTCTATAATGGAGAAAAGATGAGCTGAACTTTTCTGCAAAATTCTGCTACCCACAAGTAGGACACTATACTGTTGGATTTGTGTTGGGGGGTAGGAGTGTAGAAGAAAGACAGAGCAAAGAAAAGCTGCAATTTTAACTGCCTAATTCAGCTGTTCTACAAAGTCAGAAGGTATACTTCAACAACTAACTTGCAATAGCAAGAGATGAGAACTGCTAAAACACATAGGTATTACCTAGTATGAAAGTGTTACAGTGAGAGACTGTACACTGTTTAAACACTGTAGGCAAATTACATTTGCATGCTTCTTTATATCCGCTTATAAGGACCACCTTAACTTTGTTTTTCTTTTCAGACGTATCAGAAAATGTCTTCAAAAGCCAATATGGAAGAGATTCCCCTGGTGACAGAAATTAAGAATGGGTTCCATAAAGACTACCTAAAGGCAATTAATGGTGCTCTGAATAAAAAAGCACAATAACCATACTTTTAATATTACATTGTAGAATACAAATACCTCTCACAATACTTTTCTAAAACAAAGCAAGACTATTATACACAACTTTAGTATCATCTTAAACTCAGTGGTTACCAATTCTTCTACTCCCTGTTTAATTAATTGATTTCTTTTTAACAATACAGACTTGTAAGTGGTGAAGGCACTTATCTCTTTTATCCAGCTGAAGCAAAATTGCATTCTGTAATTCTTAATATAGGGAAGATGCCTTGAGAACTGCTCCTTTAATAACACAGATCTGGATATTCTTGAATAGAACCTAAAAAAATTTAAACTAGCAACAGACTGCAGTCTGGGAGAAAACAATGTGTATTCAATTGTTTGTTCAGTGATACAGCTCCCATTTCACTTCTTTTTTGGTGTTCTCTTAGTTCCAATTGATTTATAGTAGGGGAAAAAATCATCTGTGTGCTCAGAATCTTGGTTGCTGCCTTCATGGTGCTATAGATTGCTCTTATTCCCCATTCTAGAAACAGGATGGGATATATAGTGCAACAGAATTAATTACAAATTCATGTTCAGCTACAGTGAAACTATCTGAACGTTAGTATGTCTGTATGCCATCTTTTAAAATGCACTATTTTAAAACTGAACAAGAATAGCTCCATAAATCTTCTCTCCTTAAACCACAGCTGTGCATCCTAAACACCACAACAATCACACAGTAGCCAGGATGGTATTAACTTTGGAAGTTGAAGTCCAACAAATTTTAAAGGTTACTCTGAAACTCAGTTGGGACACCTTCCGTTCTCATTATGCCACATCTACAGACAACTAGAACAAATTCAGCAAATCACATGGCTGCTTGAGTCTATATTAACATTAATACTACAACTGAGACTAGAAATGCAACAAGATAACTCAGCCTTCCTGCTCTTAGATAGCTTAGAGCAGTGTTTCTCAATCTTTGCAACTTGAAGATGTGTGGACTTCAACTTGCAGAATTCCCCCAGCCAGCACGGTGGCTGGGGGAATTCTGTGAGTTGAAGTCCACACATCTTCAAGTTGCTGAGGTTGAGAAACACTGGCTTAGAGAAATTATCACCAACCTGCAAGCATTAAATCCCAGGTTAACATTTCACTATTGGCTGATGAAAGCAAGTTTGCTCATGTATGCCAACTTAGCATTTTGGATACCAAGTAAAATTCTACTCACATGAGATGTGAAAAGCTACGTATCCTCAATATTCAGATACTGAAGATAGGACTGCTCAATTCAACCTAGGTAGAGCTAAATGCAATTATCCAGTTTGATGCCTTTTCTACTGTTACAGAACTGGGTAACAGATGGAAAAAAGCATTTGCAAAGCTAATAATTCCACATACTCATGCAGACAAGACAAGACACATGCAAAATTCTAAAAGTAAAATGATGATGGGACAGTTGGTGTTTGGCTGGTCCAGATAATACATTTTATTTTGCATACCATTTCTACATTTTTAGTGTCTGACTTTATAACCAGTTTTAGAGATTATAATACTGTCATTCCTATTTCAGAGGGAGGGAGATATCAAAGCAGAATAGACAGATTCAGTGCAAACATTTTTCACCAATTCAGCATAAGTATTTCTCTGAAAGGTTCAACAGTATGGTTCAGAATTCCTCTATTAGAATTCCTAAAAGAGGAATTCCTAAAAGAGAGAAGTTTCATTTAATTTCCCATAGCTCTCTACTACAAAAGTCAACACTAGAAGAAAAACTAGAAAAAACTCATGCCATCAGATGCATTGGACTATAACTTCTATCACTCTAGTCTGCATGACCTTACTGGCACTGAGAATTGAAACCCATTCAATGAAGGTAACAGATTGAGGAAGGATTTTTAATTAAAATAAGTCTGCAAATCTTTATGGTGGGGAGGGCCAATCATGAACAATATTAATGAGTCATTGAAGGGATTATCTTAGAAATCTTTCCACAGGTCAGTGAATATTAGAGATAATAAATTATGTAAGGATTGTCTCACTCACCTCTACAGATTCAAAAAGCTAACTAACATTGTCTTAATGAGTAAGGCTTAATCAAGCTTTCAAAGGGCTGAAAAATGTATCATGTTAACATTTAAAACTACTTGGATAAACTACATTCAGGCAGTCGCTGAATGCAGAAAAACCAGTCAAAATGCTGCTATTTTGAATCACAACCAAGATTATGACTTTTAAATGTTATTTTCTTGTAAACATTGAACATTGAAAATAAATGATGTTTTACAGCAACACAATTTAAAGTCTTCTCTTTCTGTCCGTGTAGCTTCAAAGACATTAATTGGCAAATTTTTCATTAATTGTTAACTTTCAATTAGTTTCTTCAACCCCATGAAAACAGCCTCAGCCAACCTACTGAAGTGACACCATGTTGATTTTCAAGACTCACATTTGCCAAGTTGTTTTCCCCTGAATTATGGTGAACACATGGAAACAGAAAGGATTCACACTCTTGTAAAGTGAAATGCAGAGTTACATTTAAAGTTCATGAAGGAATGATTCAAAAGAAGAAGAATTCTTTTCTAGGGCGCTCAAAATAGGCTGAATTAAGCTGGGGCTTTGACAATTCCTAACAGGATACCAAAATCGAGGCAATTACTAGATACAGAAAGCTTGTCATTTGCTGCCATCTAGTGGTCATCCAGATTTTTTTGGCTCAGATATCATATGCCTAATTATTCCTTCCTGAAAGCTGGGGAAAATCTCCATAAAAATGGGGGGAAACAGACAAGCAATTGTTTCTAGTTAGGAAGAGGAACCAGTATTTAAGTTTGTTTGCAACACTGCTACTACTACAGGGTATTGAGATAAGACCAAAAAAAAAAAAAATCCACTATAACATTGCTTGGGTTCAAAACAGAACTGGAAGGGTTCTCTGCTATTTCTAGCATAAAAACTAGTCACCACTACCCTCTTGTGGCCAAGAAAAAAACCTAAAATTTATGGCTGCATTGAGTAATGAGACAACTACAGTTACAGACTGAATGCATTCATCCAATGTATTTTTAAGTAATTGAGATATTTGATGAGTGTTGCTTAAGCTCACATTTCAGATTAACTTAAACTTATATTAGTCAGAAGCACCAACCGAAGCCTTGCTTCACTCTTCCTTGTGGTCCATGGCTTTTCCATGCTGTGGGGAAAGAAGGAAAACTGTTTCATAATTTATATTGACATTTTGCAACAGAAAATAAAACTAACCATGAGCTAAATACAATTTATCAGTTTTTATACCAACCCAGTATACAGAAAAAGCCACATCTATATGTGTGTGAGTGTGAGTGTGTGTGTGTGTGTGTGTGTGTGAGAGAGAGAGAGAGAGAGAGAAACTGGAGAGCATTG